CTGTGATGCGATTTGTGATGGATGGAAGGGATAGTTGAGAGAGAGAGAGAGAGAGAGAATGTTGGTAGGATAACCAGAGAGAAAGTAAGAATGCTTGTTCGTAAGATGATGGAAGATAAAGCTGAAAAATAAACAGAGAGAGAGAGAGAGAGAGAGGTCGACCCTAACCTTTGAGAATGGTTTGAGGATAGAGGAAGCTTCGTGGAAGTTGAGGTATAGAGTGACCAATCCCTGATCACGTGTGCACTGCCAACATGTGCACTGTCACCCTGTCTAGCTGTGCAAAAAAAAAAAAAAAAAAACCCTAATGAGATGTGTACGTCCATGGAGCACATACGCAGTTGGTACATGTGGAGTAAAATCTTGCAGTAGAGGTAATGTGAAGTAACCTGGCCTCTGACAATGCCTTATCAGGTTGAAGTAGAAAGAGGGTTAGAGTTCTTCCTTTCCTCCGTCCGTCTGCATTAAGGGTATTGTAGGAACGTATATTTTACCAAGAACTCACTGTGTATTGTATTAAAATGGTCACTAGTTGGACATTTGTTATCGGGACGGCCGCTGTTTAACAAATTGTATTTTCCACATATGCAATTACGAGTATTAAGTAAACGATAAGAATTGTAAATGGTAAGACAGTGGTAATGTGATAATAGTAATAATAACAATAACCTTAAAACAACAATAATAATGCTGTTAAAATAAAAAAAAAATTAAATAAAATATAGATAATAATTGAAGGTGTTTATTGGTGAGCTTTAGTCGTAATTTGTTCCATATACGGCACAACACGGGGGAGGTTTACCGTCACCACAACACTGCCACGAGGACAACCAACACAACCTTATTTGCCTCCACTCGTCATAGTTATCTCTAGTTATCTTGTTATCAGGTTGTGAAGTATTATCACACAAGTCGTCAGCAGGAGAGATGGTGTGATATAAAAACAATAGTAATAAGAGACTGGTGTTGGTGGGTCGCGCCGCCAGTGCCAAACATCAATGAGTGGGCGGCAAGGATCGTGCGCCCACATAATCGTGACGGCTGCCTCGTTTCCGTGTCTGGTATGTGGTTGGATTTCAATTAATATCAAATGAAGAAGATGTTATAGTTAGAAATATAATTCAACGTATTTGGAGGTAAATTATAGCCATGAGTGAAGGTATCATAGGGAGTATTATTATTTGTTTATGGAAGGAATTATAGTATAAGCGGTTTCTGGCGTAGGCCGACCCTGCAGTCTCAGTGGGTCCTGGCGCCCTGTTGGTAGGTAAGAAGGATGTGGGTCAGGTTGAATATAATCTGCTATGACTCCAATACCGGATGACCAGCCCACGCTTGTCCTTAATACTACCGAGACTATGATTTTGTTCCCCTTATGAGCCATTAACAGTATTTTTTTGTTGTGTGTTTAAACCATGAAAAGAAATGTTTCCATCGTGGCCCCTGGTAAACAGATAGTATTAGTGATGTGTGTGTGGTGTTGTGTAAAGTCGGGAGTGTGAGGGCCGCCCTGCTAATGAAGAAGGTGTATTCCCCGCCACTGAGGAGGCCCTACAACCTGGCGGGTCATCTGCCTTTGTAGGGGCGGCATCTCACCCTCACTCCTCCCCTCCCCCCTCCGTCGCCTCCTCCTCCTCCCCCTACACACAACCCTTCCACCTCTTCATCACATCCACTCTTTCTTGACATACACCTCCATCCATTCACCTGTCAAGCCTCTCCCACCTCACCTGTCAAGCCTCACCCACCTCACCTGTCAAGTCTCACCCACCTCACCTGTCAAGCCTCACCCACCTCACCTGTCAAGCCTCACCCACCTCACCTGTCACCTCACCTCACCTGTCAAGCCTCACCCACCTCACCTGTCAAGTCTCACCCACCTCACCTGTCAAGCCTCACCCACCTCACCTGTCAAGTCTCACCCACCTCACCTGTCAAGTCTCACCCACCTCATCTGTTTTGCGAGAATGATGACGAGCATATGTACTTTATATGATTAGAGAGAGAGAGAGTACTGTGTGTGTATCCCTATATGTGTGTCTGTCTGTATGTATGTATGTATGTATGTATGTATGTATGTATGTATGTATGTGTACCCGCCATGACTGGGTTTCCGTGTTCGCGTTCTATAAGCCTGGTGGTAGTCTCGGCTCACGTCCCGCGGCAGTAAACTCATTCATAATCCCATGTCTCGTGTGTGTGTGTGTGTGTGTGTGTGTGTGTGTGTGTGTGTGTGTTCAGGGCCAGGATAATACCCTCGCAACTCCCAAGTTTTTATGTATGTATGTATGTACTGTACGTGTGTGTGTGTATGAATAAATGTATTTATGTATGTAAATTTCAAAAGTTATTTAGACACTTCATAAATTATACTGCTGGTCTGCGATATAACAAGGGTGACCGAAGCTACGTCACACAGACAGACAGACAGACAGACAAAATAAATCCCCCTTCGATCTCTCTTAATATAATCATCACCTCTTTAATTCTTCCCTTATTCTCTTTGTCCTTTCTTCTGTCTCTCCCGTCTCTTCTGTCTCTTCCATCTCTTCCGTCTTTTCTGTCTCTTGAGGTTGTTTTCATTCATTGGAGTCTCTCGTGTTGTGGGGTAGAAGCTCAGCATCACGTGACCTCACACTCGACGTAAAGATGATATATTCCCTCCCGCTCTCTCTCTCTCTCTCCCTACCTCCCGTCCACCTCTCCTTCCCTACCCTGTCCATCTCTCCCTCCATACCTCCCTACCCTGTCTGTCTCCCCCCCCCCTACCTCGTCCTTCTCTCCTTCTGTACCTCCTTACCCTATACATTTGTCCCTACCTCTACCTCCCTCCCTTGCCCATCTCTCCTTCCCTGTGGCCTATGGAGCTCCTAAGACCTGCTAGAGTGAGGGAGGGATGAACACACACACACACACACACACACACACACACACACACTTGGCCATGACTCTCCAGTAGTCTCACGTCATGCACACAGACAGTCTGTAATGCTTGATGGTTCTCATTCATTCTTACATTTTGACGCCCAACTGTGTCTGTCTGTCTGTCTGTCTGTCTGTGTAAAAGTTGATTAATTGCACTTCATGAGTTCAAGTGCACTCATAATGCACTTAAGTCCAACTAACATGTGCTTTATAAAGTCGCTTACTGCCTCTGTCTGGTTAATTAAAGGTGATTAGACGTGTACTGTACATCACTTGTGCTTCAGGCAACCTTATCTACTCTTTCAATTTGGTTTATTGTGTTTTCATTGGTACACTTGAGTCTGCTTGTTCGTGCAATGCCCATCCGTGTTCGTGCTTGCGTTTTGTCACGTGTGTGTGTGTGTGTGTGTGTGTGTGTGTGTGTGTGTGTGTGTGTGTGTGAGAGAGGGAAAGTTGTCGAATGGTTTATTTAATTTTACGTTGGGAAAGAATGTTGTCATGTTGTTACGTTTGGTTATTGTTATTGGTGGTGGTTGTCATCATCACCACTAACAGTAGTAGCAACACCATCGTACCCAATAACACCACTTAACCAGCACCATTAAAACTAGTAAGAACACCGCCATAACACCACTGCCAAAACAGTGGCGGAGTGACAACATCTCTCCCGTCTCGCCACCTTGACAACAGAGCAACACTGAGACAGACTGCAGCTCACCACCACCCGGTCATAACAACGTCCTAATTATAGATTATATAATATAGTTTACAAAATTTACACAACAAACGTGATAAAGGGAACGGAATGCTCGACACCTTCTCACAGCACTTTACAATGTTTGGGTTTGTTAGGAGTCTTCTGTCTGTGTGGGGCTGGCTAGAACTTGGGGATGGATAATGGAGGGGTTGTGTGGGGCTGGCTAGAACTTGGGGATGGATAATGGAGGGGTTGTGTGGGGCTGGCTAGAACTTGGGGATGGATAATGGAGGGGTTGTGTGGGGCTGGACTAGAACTTGGAGATGGATAATGGAGGGGTTGTGTGGGGCTGGCTAGAACTTGGAGATGGATAATGGAGGGGTTGGGATGCTTGGAGGTGGTCGATGCCTCACTGTGAGTATAGGTTACCGAGGTTCTCTCTAGGGAGGTTGACAATAATACCGGACGGAGGCGGCGACAGTGGCAGGCCAGAGCGGACGGATGGTTGGTTGGTTGACCCTCTGTGATTATGTTTGCTCTCTCTCTCTCTCTCTCTCTCTCTCTCTCTCTCTCTCTCTCTCTCTCTCTCTCTCTCTCTCTGCGGTATCACGATAGTACAACATCTGCAGCAAGGTCCGTGAACACACACACACACACACACACACACACACTTGTATCTATTAGCCTGATAATACCTTCCTTAATGTTGACGATTAATTATGTACAGAACTTAACCCTCTTCCTCTAATATTTACGCCTCTCATGACCGCTTGCACTCTATTACCTGACCAAACTTTGCATATTAGCTTTAATATTTATGTCCTCCTCAGTGCTTGCAATCAATCTTTGTCTTAAGGGCTTGCGTTTTATGCTCAGTATTTTAGCATAACCCCGCCTTCTGCGTGTTGTCCAGGTGTATAGTTTCTTCAGCGCTGTCGTGTCTGAACTGTGAATAATTTTTTTTTAGCTACTCAGTGCATGGATTTACTGACTTGACTGATAGTATTTTATTACATGGGGGGCGGGGGGGGGGTATAGTAACGCAATATTACCGCATCTGTGTCCACTTTTTTTTGTATTCCCTGATAAAAAAAGCAAAATAATGTAAGTAAAATAATAGTATTTCCTCAGCTGGTGCTCTTCCATCTTCCAATCAATCATGGAGGAGCCAATATTTATTCTCTACTCGACTGTAACACCTTTATGAACATGTCAATATTTACAGTGTGTGTTGATCTGACGCCATTGTAAACAGGTTAATATTTACCTTTAACGCCACTGTAAAAAAATTAAAATAAAAACACGTGGTAATACTTTTTAATGAGTTTCTTACATCAGGAACTAACGAGATCGTCTTCTCTTTCATCTCCTCCTTCAGAAGTGGGAGTTGCTGGTCCTGTCGAGGCTCAAGTGGGACTTAGCGGCGATCACCCCGCACGCCTTCCTCGACCAGATCATCGCCCGTCTACACCTCACCTTCCCCGAGACACAAATGCGGACAGTTCGGGAACACGCCACATTTTTTATCACAGTCTGCGCCACCGGTGAGTAGAACCCCCATTCTGTGCTTTCCATTTACTATAATTGGTGTAAGTTAGTTTAGGGATTTAATGGTGATTGTATTATTATTATTATTATTATTTGTTTTGTATTGGTTTCATCACCGTCTGCGCGCGCCACAGGTGAGTGACCCCCCCACAACTCCTCTGCTTCCCGTTTTCTTTAACTCAGTTTGTTTTTAAGGGATTTAATGGAGATTTTCTTTATTTAATTGTTTTTTTTGTTTTGTTATTGTTTATTGAAATACTGTGTGAGGAGGTAGTTCAGTTTTATCCCCTTGATATCTTGCCTGAGGTTTAATCAGTGGGTGTGGAACCTCTAGACTCAATCTAGTGGAGGGGTTGAGACTCAGCTGGTGGGAGGTAAGGCTCAGGGGATACAGATCCTCACGATTCAGCTGGTGGGGGTTGAAACTCAGCTGGTGGGAGGTAAGGCTCAAGGATCCTTTCCACAAATAAGGATTTTTTTTTCACACCTCTTCGGACCACGTCAAGGACTCTATCTCTCCTACATGCTTTTTTTTACGTCGTGTGGACTCCTGATCCTATGTGTGTGTGTGTGTGTGTATGTGTGTGTGTGTGTGTGTACGTGTACGTTCGTAGGATTGCGTTTACTTGTTTGCATTATATACGTTCTGAACCAAAGAAAATGATAATGATCTGCAAAATTCATGATATTGTACAAACCTGAAAGAAAATATATTAGTTGATGTGAGTGAGACAGTGAGGGAGGGAGGGAGGGAGGAGGAAGATGAGACAACACAAGTCTTTTTTCTCACATGCTCAGGTGTATTGCGCACCTTGTATCTTGCACAAGGTGAAGCTCAAAGCAATTCAGACTTCCAAAAGAGACACGTGAAAACTTCTTGGACTCAGTTAAGGGTGAAGGTGCCTCATGGGGGCATTGGTTACGGTAGCAAGTTACATTGAGTGAATGATGATTAGGTGGGAGGAAAATATACAGTACAGATTTAAATTAAGACAGAGTGTGTGTGGTTACCGTCCCTTAGTGATAGCACCTGCCGGGCCATCAAGAGAAGTGATAGTTGATCAAAGAGAGACGACGAGGTGATGATGGCTTGGGTCCTGAAGGAGGAGGACTAGAAGGTTATAGGACATTCAAGGATGTAGTGAGGCAGGTTATGGGAATCAACGCGTTCACGAGGTCGACAAGCAGGCCGGCGAGGCTCTTAAGTTTATCGCGACGTGTTTCCAACCATAACCTAACCTAATCTAAACCAACCCAAAATCAAACTCAGGTACACACTTTATTGAGGTATAATTAGGGGGTGACTATTTCTTGAAACGGCGACTGGTGTCACCAACAAGAGCTGGGTATTGGCGCAACGTGTCATTTAAAAGAAGTATTGCAACATTGCCAATGACCCCGGTTGACCCGTCTGGGTGGCGGCGGCTGGGTAGTGGAGGGGCGGCACAAGGTCACACACCCACGTCAGCACAGTCAGCAGCCAACTTCCCCCCCCACTTCACTTCCCCCTAACCTCCCCTTACCGTCCTCTCCCCTCTCGCCACCCCTCACCCACCGCTCCCCTCTCCCCTTCGCCACCTCTCTTCACCCAACCCCCCCAACCACCCCTTACCAACTTCTCCCCTCCTCTTCCCTCTCACCACCCCCCCCCTTACCCACCTCTCCCCTCTACCCTCTTTCTACTCCTCCCTCCTCCTTTATCCGTGCTTCCTTCCACATTCGTTTACAATGTTAAGCGGATCTCTCTCTCTCTCTCTCTCTCTCTCTCTCTCTCTCTCTCTCTCTCTCTCTCTCTCTCTCTCTCTCTCTCTCTCTCTCTCTCTCATCAGTTGACAGCGTCCTCCCAGATAATGACAGAAGGATCAGGTTCCCAGCTGTCAGTCTCTTAACTAGGTGCCACGTTTCCTGTCCACCGTGTGAGCAGGAGGTGCAGGGGGGTGGGTGGTGCCGGGGTGTAGGGGGTGGGGATGGGGAGTGCCGGGGTGTAGTGGGGAGTGCCTGGGTGAGTGGGGTGCCTGGAGTGTAGTGGGGAGTGCCTGGAGTGTAGTGGGGGAGTGCCGGGTGTGGTGGGTAGTGCCTGGTGTAGTGGGTAGTGCCTGGGTGTGGTGGGGAGTGCCTGAGTGTGAGTGGGGAGTGCCGAGGGGTGAGAGGGGAGTGCTTGGGTGGGTGCAATGTGGTGAAGTGCCTGGGTGTGGTGGGGGTGCCTGGTGTGAGTGGGGAGTGCCTGGGTGTGGTGGGGGTGCCTGGGTGTGGTGGGGAGTGCCTGGGTGTGATGGGGAGTGCCAGGGTGTGAGTGGGAGTGCCTGGGTGTGAGTGGGGGAGTGCCGAGGTGTGGGGGAAGTGCCTGGGTGTAGTGGGGAGTGCCTGGGTGTAGTGGGGAGGCCAGGTGGTGTAGTGCCTGGGTGTGGTGGGGAGTGCCTGGGTGTAGTGGGGAGTGCCTGGGTGTAGTGGGGAGTGCCGGGGTGTAGTGGGGAGTGCCATTGGCTGGTAGTGTAGGTACTGGGACTGCTGTTTATCTGCCAGGCTGTGTACTGGGGAGTGTTGAGGTGTATGTTGGAGGTTCTGAGGTGTACACTGGGGTGCTGACGTGTGTTCTGAGGTATACTGAGTGGTGAGATACACAGGAGTGCTATTACTGTGTGTTGTTAGTTCCCGGTGCCACCAGTGAAGATATGATGATCTGTATGTATGTATGTATGAGTATGTATGAGTATGTGTGTGTGTGTGTGTGTGTGTGTGTGTGTGTGTGTGCGTGCGCGTGCGTGCGTGCTTGGCAACATGCTTGGGTCAGGTGGCAGTGTGGAGCCCTCGTGAGGACGGGTCTGTTCGGCGCCTTCACCGTGCTGACCTCTGCACGTCCCTCCTCCTCTTCTACACTCTCCCTCCTCTCTTCTTTCTCACTTCCTCTACCTCCCTTCTGTATCTTTCTCCGGCCTCTTCTCATTCCTTTCTGGCCTCTCCTCCTTCCACCCCTCTCTGGGCCCCCACACACCATGATAACTTATCAGTTCCCCAGTTTGTGCTCATCACCGGCCGCTGCCATCCTGCGACACTACACAACAGTCATGTCTCACAGGCACCGAGATCCCTCATGTAAACTGTACAGAGATACACACCTTTCTCGCTCTCTCAGTATCTCTCCTGGCTCAAAGTTAAAGGGATAATAGAATGGGTGGCTTCTCCAGGGGTGTGTGTGTGTCTCTCTCTCAGAAACGACCTTACCTACAAAACAAAGGTGGTGGTCTACCCTTTTAAAAGCGTCACCGTATCTAATCGTATATTTGTGTGAGGATGAACGTCCGCAGCGGAGCGTCGCCTAGTAAGGAGATGGCCCTAGCCAGATAGGCCGAGCCAATATGGTAATACGCCATCATAAATAAACGCTGTAATGCCCCAAACGGCACCATGCCTACATACCCACTACCCGCATACCAGTGGCGATATCTGGCCCAAGGCCTACCTACGACCACTACCTGGCCCAGACTGGCGCGGCTCCCATATGAAAGTAAAAGTTAGGTTAGTAAAAGTAGCCCCATGATAAGTTATGGTGGTAATAATGGTAGTGGCATGGTTGTGGTAGTAGGGTGTGGGAGTGATCAAGGGGAAGGTATGGTTACTAAGTAGTGTCTGGGTCGTTGTGTACCCTGAGGCACCCCAGAGCTCCTCCCATCTTGTGGACAGCCTAACCTAACATGAGGTACTTGTGCCAGTGCCCGGTGTGACCCTCATTACTGTACAAGGACACACACTACTGGTGAGATATTCGGAGCACTTTTTACTGTGTTCATTGCTAAACTGGTTAGGTCTGGTATTTTTGGGGGGCAAATCCCTTGTTTGTTTGTTGTCTTAGTAATTATGGCTACTTGTCATAAGCTTCAGTTTTACATACTCGGTTCCCTGACATCTTGGGAGTCACCAGCATTTAAGTGTAATAATGTTTAATTTGCATTCGTTTTAATGTGTTGGATGTCTCAGTAGATGAGTGATAGCTTGGCGGTCACCTCAACCTCCCCGAGTGAGAGTAAGGAATGTGTTGTGAGTGAGTATCCTTTCATGGCGTGATGGCGTGAATCATGGGGGTCATTCAGGGTCTCGCCGTCATGCAACGAATCATGCAACAGCTGGAGACGCTCTCTGCCACTTTTGCTCCTTCGCGCGCATTTTCTCTTGTTTTGATCTAGATTGTTCGCGCGCTTTCTGGTGTCGTCCGGATTAGATGGCGTGAACTCTCTGGTATGCGATTGAGAGGATATAACCTCCCTCAGGCTAGACACATCACGTCCGTGGAAGTTAGTCATAATTCTATTCGGAATATTTTGCCGCTGTAGTACAAAAATAAAAATAAAAAAAATTTCAGTGCAACGAGACAAATTAAAGCCTTTCCTTAAGTCCATTTACATCTTTACACACGCATCAAACACCTCACCATAGCGAGCGTCAACAAGGATAATGGATGGCTCTGGCAAGTTTTGAGTCGAAGGGGATTTTTTTTTTTTTTACATAATTCTGACAGACATTCACCCAGCCTTGGTCCTGCCCTCACCAGCGGCTGGGACCCTCGCTCCTGTTGCTCTTATTCAGGAGGCTGAGCTGTGTATGAGGGGTGGGGGTGTTTCTTTCTCTCTTGATTGATTGATTGAAGGTTTAGTATAGTAGTCGGCACTGGAGGGCAGGCCTTTGGCTGCTTTACGTAATACTAAAATATTTCATACCCCAGGATAGTGAGGGTAGATGGTGCGGGGGGTGAAGATAGTGAGGGCAGATAAGGATAGTGAAGGGATGGATGGGCAAAAAGAAAGGTATGAGTAATAGAAAGAAAGAAGGAAAGAA